GGAACCTCTGCACTGAAGTTTTTTAAAAACATCCAAACTGAGAACCCTATCTAGATCTTTCCTTAATCTAGACTTGAGATCTATGTACTTAAATAGCTTACGCCTCTTATTCTCGTAACATTCCTATAATTTATGGATGGAGGCGTGATACCTTACTTCATTCACTGTGTTCGAATAACACCTCCTATTTCGATTGCAGAATCAGGATGTTTGCAATGTTTGCAACAATTCAAAAAGGCCAAATGGCGGATTTGACTTAAAATTGTCTTCATTGTTCGGCTGTAGTAGGTGCATTTTCGGGCAATCTTACTTCCATAGTTTAATCGAAGATATGAAGACCAAGATGGTGTGGCATTTTGTGTGGTCGCAGTATCCTTTAGTTGTATAGAGGTAGGTTGACCTTGTTTTGGCAACTTGGTCATATTGATAGATAGACTTAAAGGAACTCACCTAGTCCGGAGTCCATAGTATGCATGATGATTGCCAGAGTCGGACCATGGACGTGGTACATTCTCAGACGTTTCGCCGGCATCGTAGTCACATCGTAAGTGAGCATTGCCATTCTTGGTACCTCATTAAAACTCGTAAGTGAGATGAGTGAAGCTGATCCTTTGACCAAACGTGTGCTAAATATTTGTGGTATCTCTCTATCTGCCCTGGTCTATTGACATTTCCTATATACTCTTATCACGCTTTCACTATTACAATTTTACCGTGCTTATTTAGATGTAGTATGATGCGTCCTTTTGAGCGGTGTTGATGAGACCCATCCACACTCCACACTGGCATTATCACCCCCCCTTTACCCTTGTGCTGGAAATGTGGATCAGAGTCTGCCATATTGTTACTCAGTCCTCTTTCCCTAGGTCTTATCAGAGTCTGCCACTTTCCCCGTAGTATCCGTCTGCTAAGTATTTCACTCGACCTCTGCCACCCATCTGTATTACTCGAGGCGTTATTTCACACACTCTGCGTCTAAGCGACTATTTCGATACTAAAGCCTCTGAGTAAGTCTCCTGGTCAAGTTTTTGGAAATTATCATGCATACAATGGACACCGGACTACGTGCATCTTCCTACCAATATGACCAAGTTGCGAAAACAAGGTCAAACAACCTTTATCCCATAGCGACTGCGACCACACAAAAGGCTACACCATCTTAGCCTTCGTCTCTTCGGATGCTTTTTTATGATGCTAGTTAATTGGTTGGTATTTTATGCTGGCTTACCTTATCCCAGTAAAACCTCAGTTGGCTGATCCATTCAAAGGCATTCACGTCATTACAATTGGCCTTGTAAAGCTTCTCAATTATGTCCCTCTGATGAACTTCAATTACAACCAGACCATTGATCTTAAGACGCTGAATCTTTGTCAGGTTAGAACGGATTGCTTCTGAGAGCTTGTCTAAAATAAGACGCTGTTTTTTCCGCAATGTTTTCAGCGGCTTCTTGTCGTTTCTAGCACCTACCTAGAAGAAAATAATGGAGAAAATGGATTAATTAAATCGGCTCAGTTAAAATAAATGTTATAGGAATAACATCAAAATTGAATTTTGCAGTGGCCAATGAACCTTCGTTAGAAAACCAGTTGTTTGAAAGGAATTAGACAAAAATCTTTCGGCCATTTTAATATTTGATCACAGGCTATTTATGACATAAACTTATGGACATGACAGGAATGATATTCTACTAGTGCATCCATTGGTCAATACTCATTAATTTGAAAAGTGAAGCTGTATTTAGGAAGAATAATGTGAAATATTTTCATTTCACGGAAACTTACGTTTAAAATAACCGTAAAGTTATGTCCTAGATATGACGATCGAGATTCTTTTAGTCTGATTTTATTGCTATATGCCTAGTTTGAATTTGTCTTCTTAGCCACGCTAGTGAATGCTTTTAATGAGTATGATACTATGTAGACAGTTACTAAAATATAATTGAATGTTGATTGGAAATGAAAGCAGAGAGCAAATGGTTTTGTTTTGTAGGAAATGACAGTCGATACATATAAAATTAAATGCAGAAGCGACATGATTTCGTCATTGTTTTCTTTTCTATCTTGGATTGAAAAGATAACATGTGATACAGACTTGATCGTAGTTTCGATATGTCCCAGGTAGGATAAACATTTATCGCTGGATTCGGAACTAAGAGATATCGAGTTGCCAACCAACACGCTATGATTAATTATGGGATAAATGTAATTAGATTTACAACTAAGCTTACCTACCTGCGTGTCCTTTTATGTTTCACTGCGAGAGACATTATATTCCATGATGTTCAGACATTGTTGCTTAAGGTCTATGGATACAATTAATCTCATTATAGATATAGTTAGGAAGACCTCCAAAGCATATGGAAGGTCCAAGCTAAAACTCTTTATCGATTACAAATATGTCCTAAAAGATCCCTTGCTGAAGCCCAAAACAACATGTAACAAGTAGTAAATACATTTGAAGATAATATGATAACTCTAAAAGCACAACAGGAAAGAAGAATTTTTTATTTAAACTGTATAGAAACTGTGTGCTTTGGAGTTAAATTTATATAAAAGATCATGAATAGGTGATCATTTGAATCATCTGAATCATTTGTTCATGCGCATTTAAGATAGATTAAATATTCACTATATAGATAATTTGATGCTTCTTCCAGAACAAAACTACGGTTATACTATGATTGCAATATCGCAACTCAGTCCTTTATAATAGATATCAAACGAGGATTCAGTTAAGCATAGTTTTATATTCTTACGATGTCTGCTAATAAAAAATTGATTTCAACTATTTATTCAAAAGTGTTGTGTTAGTTTTAATATGATAGGACCCAATAGGATTTAGTTGGGTTTAAGCACATCTACTCCAAATCTCCTAAGAATTATTTACGTTAATCTTTTCACACGATATTCACGGTTAAAGGAGTAAAAAGTACAAATACATCTACCGATAAACGGTTTTGCAGCCTTAGTATTACTCTTCGAGGCATTTTTCAAAGCAACGACCAAAATTAATACTAAAAAACTTCCAACTGGTCAATTAACAGCTGTGAAACATTTCCTTGCAGTTTTCTTATATTATCTAAACCAGCGGTTCCCAAACTTTTCCTAGTTGCGGCGCCCTTTCTCAATTAAAATTTTTCTATGGCGCAATACCCTAAGTATGACTATTCCTAAGTAAGAGATAAAAATTAATAAAACTCGTGTATCTTCAGTATTTTTTTAAATTCATTAACATTAAATTAATATTTGATAATTAATGTGATTGATAAGTCTGCAAATCAGTGCACATTTTCTCAAATCGTTGAATTGAACTGGACATCTCCTCATCTCCTTTTCACGTTGATTTTTGCTCTATACTTACTCAAAGACAACAAACAAGAAGTAATATAACACTTACTAAATTACAATATGAACTCATTTACTAATTTATG